TTTAGCCAAAAAATTAACATGTTAATTAATATATTATTTCGCTAACACGTCAACTAATATTAATCTGATTTTAGAGTACATATTTATTCATTGATATAAGAAAAAATAAAAAATTTATTTATTCTTTTTCACCATATAATACTCAATTATTATTTTATTATAAAATTCATAGTCATATAATGTCATTATTATTATTTATAAAAGTTATAGAAGTAAGTCTTCTTTATGTAATGAAATTCAAAATAAAATTTTGTGTATAAATATTTACAAAATACATACACATGTTTTTTAGAATTCAATTTTCTCATAATAATTTAAAAAAAAATGATTTAGCAATTGCCAAAAAATAATCCCTTACGTAATCAAGATATTTTTTAAAATTTTTATCCTAAGGCTTTATAGTTTATTTAACATACTATGTAATAGAAAAATATTTTACAATAAGTTCATTATAGAGACATATAAAAAAAGTGATAAAAACATTATCATAAATGACAATAATATACAAATAAATAACACGTCGAAATTTTAAAGAATAACTAATATATTTCAATTTTATTATGTAGCCATCAATAAAATTATTTAATGATGTGATCATTATCTTTTAAATGGTAAATAATATTAATTTTAAAAAATTATTAGTTTTATATAATTAAATAAAGGTTAAAAAAATTATCGATAAATATTAATTATAATGGATATCAGTAAAATCATTGTATAAATTAATAAAATTATTTAAGGAAAGAATCTTTAAAATCATTTTTGGATAAAAAATATATATGCAAGCATTTAATGCATATAATAAAAAAATTCCCAATAAGGTATGCATTAAATGTGTGTTGACTTTTCTTGCTACTATTTTTAGTAAATAGGTTGGCTTTTAATATATATATAGATTTAAAATGTTTATATATAAGCAATTAATGTATATATTTAAAATGTTTCTAAAAAATTATGCATTTAATGCTCTCAGATGTTTTGGCTACTATTTTCAGTAAATGCTTATTCTCTTTACATATAGATGATGATGATGATAATAATAATAATAATAATAATAATAATAATAATAATAATAATAATAATAATAATAATAATAATAATAATAATAATAATAATAATAATAATAATAATAATAACACTAATTATAATAATGTTAATAACAATTATAATAACAATAATAATAATAATAATAATAATAATAATAATAATAATATGGTTTAGCATTTAGAATGTGTTTACATGCTTTTCTTGATCAAAATATTATCCACATACAAGAATCATGGAAAATAATATTAATAGGTTATTATAATGGATATCAATGGTATTATTGCATATTTTAATAAAACTATTCAAAAAAGAATCTTTTTTTATCATATGTAATTTGATTTGATTTGGAAACATGTATATGAAGCAATTAATATATATATTTAAAAAGTTTTCAAAGAAATTATGCATTTAATGCTATCAAATAATTTGGCTACTATTTTTAGTAAATACTTATTCTCCTTATATATAAATATAGATATAAATATTATTAAATATATTAAAACTAATTTTCAAAAAAAAAAAAAAAAACAAAAACAAAATTGATCCGACCATCCTATTTGTTGTAGATTACGACTTGTTTGTTGGCGATAGATTCACTTCAGCAAACCATACTAATATGATAATGGGTTTCAATTAATTTAACCAGTCCGACCATCGAGTTCGCTTCGATTAAAAACTATGATAGCAACATAATCCACACACCCCAGAGAATGAATGTAGGGTTAAAATAGGAAATTAACACAATTATAGGTATATATAGTCTCATAAAACAAATAGCCTGCGCGACATGAAACTGATAATATGAATGAAGGCATATTTATATCGCGCATGAAACTGATAATATGAATGAAGGCATATTTATATATAGAAAGAAAATCTTACGTACATATCCATTCTTTCCTTATCTTAAGCAGAAGCTCAAGGTATTCGTACTCGATGTGCCTGATGAGCTCATCGATAAATACACGCCTCTCTTGCGCACCAAGCTGCTTTGTGACATCATCAACCACCCTTTCTTTCCCTTTACTATCATCCGATGATGATCTCAACTGTGTAACTGTGGGCATTCGCTCAATCTCTACCGTAACAAAATCATTTACCTCCTGCTCCGGTGATGACCTCATCTTTCTTCCTATTTCTGATACCTCCTGCTGCATGTCATCCCGCCCAACAGAATGGTTCATTTTAAAAAACGAAAAATAAAATATTCTTCGTTTTAGGATGACATGGCTCAAGATGACATGCCTTCATTTATATACCTTGGGAAATAGGTACTTCCAATAGGTACTTATTGATTATAGAAAGCTTTTATCGTTAGTGATTTTGGCTTCAATAATTAATGCTAGTGCATATTATTCTTGGGAGCTAGCTAGCTACTGTGTACATATTTTGTATATTGAAGTTTGGCAGGGATTTTGAGACCGTATATAAGTATTGAATATCACTGTATTTTACGTCAAACCAACTTTAGAAATAATAAATAATACCAGTTCTAGGTAGTCGGTTCTCTTTATACTTCTTAATTGTGATTGACGTTCTTGTCTAAGTACCTGAAAAAACGTTGCGATAGTTCCTGAAGAAGATCCTCCGATGATCAAGTCAATTCTTTGTATATGATGTGTATATGATAATAATGAACAGAACGCAATTAACCTAACATTAACCATACCTCCCTCAGATGTCACGTGTTAATGTCTCCGTCAATTAACTAGGTCGACTCGAGGTCACCAACAAAAATAGATGTTCTATCTTTCCAACTTGTTGGTCGAGGTCTCAGGCCATGTATAGGACATAGGTCGATAAGTCGACCTACTGTTCATTGGAACTCACCTCGACCTACTCAACCTAGCTATCTCCTATAAGTTGAGCTAAAAGATCCCGGTCCAAGACCGATCGACATAATAGCCCGGTGCAGGACCGAACTATGTTTTTTTTTTTCTCGCTAAAAATGCCATTTCATTTCATTCTAGAAATAACTTAAAATATTAAATATATATTTATATAGATTTGCAAGGTTATTTTAATGGTAAAATTTAGACAAAAAATGATATAAGTTGGCCACATCGGAAGAAGATATATATGAAAACTTGGACCTCAACACAATAAGTTGGTAAATTCATAAAAACATACTCCCTCTTATTTTTATTATTTATCATTTTGAGAAGCAAAACACTAATTAAGAATTTTTTTTCTTGCCAATATTAACTCTATTTAAGGAATGTTATGTGAAATGATAGAGATGGGATATGAAGAGACATTGTGTATTAGATGGAGGGTTAAAATAAAAAATATGAACAAAATAGCCAAAACAACATTTATTTAATCAATGATGAATTAAGCCAAAGTGACAAATAATAAAAATAGAAGGGAGTATAAAATACAAGCCACATACGCTTCCGGAATAAGATTTTTCTATTTTGTTCGAACTAATAAAGTTTCGACTTAATTAGAATTTTGGATTTGTCCTGCTTCCATTATGATAAAGTGACCTAATATCAGTGGCCCAATGTATTGGGTCACCGCAAAATGACAAAAAAAAAAAAAAGAAAAAAAACACAAAAAATGCATGATAATTATTGGACAAGTGCATTTTTAAATAAGATAAAAGATAATTTATATTATTTGGTGTTAATTTATATTTAAATTAAAGAATAGAATATACCGAAATTTGTATTTTTACATTCTGTATAAATAGAGACCACATTAGATATGTTTTCAAAAATAATTGTAACTTTTCTATTTGATAATGGTAATTAATGTGTGATTTTATTCAAAGTGTTTGTAACATGTTTAATTAATAATATTATTTTATTTTAATTTTTGTAATTTCAATTTTTAATTGAGTCGGTAAATTTTTTAATTGTATGGTAAAATTATATTTTTTAGAATTATTATGACTTTCAATAAAAAAAGTAAATAATTTGTCACAACTAAAACAATAATTCAATAACACAATTCAATTTTAGATAATATTTAATAGATAAATAAATAAAAAAATAAAACAAATATTTTAAGTTGGATTGGGGTGGGGATAAAGATAAGTTGGGTTATATGGTTGAATTATGCAGGTAAAAGAGAGATAAATAATTTTTAATTGTTAAATCGGATTGAATTGTGGATAAAAATGATCAGACTTATCTTGTCGAGGTCTTATAAAATTTCAGTCTTATCCCAGTTCTAGTTCGTCTACCTATTGTATTTGTGATTAGCATTGTCACGATGTACACGCGAACTAGACACTAGCAAATAAATATGTACCCATTTTAAGTGAATGCCTTTCAACGTGACTTCAATAATCCATTAATTACGTACGAGCACAAACCCAGTATTAATAGTAGCGTTGAAAGGTTAGACACATCTTACACTATTGTGAGGCGGCCTAACTTTTTGATGGGTCGATCGGATGCACATTTGTAACAAAAATACACACATATATTACGACATGTAATACTTTTGTTTATATTATTTTTTTTTAGAATATTAAAAGTTTAAAAGTATACATATATGTTGAAAAAATGTAATGTACGGCTGCCTAATTGGTAGCGTTATTGCTTGAAAATTAGGTTAAAAAACAAAGTAAAGCTAAATCCATACCAACTTATTGGGTACATTAAGTGCAGCACAAGTTTTGATAATCAAGGAAAGATGAAAGTTTCACTTGATTCTGTATTCAACCAAAATATACAATAAATTGCAATCACGATTACACCCACAAATTGCATCATTATAATCTCCACAAGCAATGGAGGTCACCTCCAAATCCTATAAACTTTGTGCTGCTAACACTCAAGAATTGCTCTTCCACGTAAATATTCATCAAAACACAGAAGAAAAATGAAGCTGCCAGACTTTGACCATGTATAAACTCATCATGACTCGGAACCAAAAAATAAAAAATAAAAATAAAGAGTAAACTAAGTAAATATGCTAAATTCACAGGATGTCGAACAAATTTAAGATTCAACATCACCTGTAGATGGATATTTGTGCGGTATCTGAACCTGGTTGAGCCTGCTGGTCCATATCGAGTGCAGAATCATGTGGAACAAGTCGTAGCGAACGGGCTTTGCATTCCACAAAAAATGCTTCTGCAGCCTCTTGACATTCCCCTGCATCACCAGATA